TTAAATAATAATAATAATAATAATAATAATAATAATAATAATAATAATAATAATAATAATAATAATAATAATAATAATAATAATAATAATAATAATAATAATAATAATTAATAATAATAATAATTAATAATAATAGTCAATAATAATAATAATAAATAATAACAATAATAATAATTGATGATGATTGGTGATGATTGGCGGTGATGATGATAATTGATAATAATAATGACGATGATGATGATAAAACGACGATAATGATGATGGTAGTGGTGATGGTGATGTTGACAGTGATGATACTGGTGCTATCAGCGACCAGCGTGACAATGGTGATGGTGATGATGAGATGCGATCGCCCTCTCTCTACGACGATGTTCTTTCGCGGGCTGATCGCTGCTATCCGATCTATCCCATTCTGCTGCAGTAACAGACGAATGAATCTCTTTTTAATGTTGATATTTGTCAATTATCGCTCTCTTTGCTCAATTTTTATGCTTTTTCCTAAACGTTTTTGTCGTAATTCCTTTCCAATAATTTTAGACATTCTTTTTCCTTTTTGTATTATTGTTGTTGGATTTGTTAATCAAATCCATTACTGGTAATTGTTGTCATCGATATCATTCCTATCATGATGATATGATCCATTCTGTCAATCCCTTAACCCTGCTTTCTCCTCTCCTTTTTTTTGCTGTTATTAGCGTATCCAATATTGTGTCGCTTATCACCACTTGGAACTGGAAATTTAGCCTTCTGACGACGTGTAGTTGACTAACTTTCTCTTGTGATATGAGACGAAATGAGAACAAGATTTGATGGTGAATTAGTAGAGCGTTATAGAAAAGTTGAACAACAATTGGAAATTATTTTGCAACCAGAGAAGAGTACCCAACAAAATGAATCAAAGCAAGGTAGGACAGGTGACCAGTAGCAAGCAATCCCTCCCCACTCTTCAAGAGATATTTTAAAAACACTTATAATCGCAATGCTTCGCTCTCTCTTCTGGAAGAACTGGTATTGTTAGCTTTCGATAAATCGATGACTTGTTTTTATAATTTACAGACATCAGATGTGTACCAGTACCCGCTGGCACAGTTGGATCTATGCTAAACGACCACGGTAGAGGTGAAGAAGTGCCTGTATAGAACAATCATCGCGTAATGGGCAAGTGGAAGTGCACGAAGACCTCAGGTGTAGTTTTACTTACTCCTAAGGAAACGATCCTTTTGTCAGTATTTCGTACCTCGACATCACTTCGTGTTTGTTTCATCGCCATGCTACTGTCCACCACATCCACCGTTCATAGTGTAATGTTAACAGCTGATCAACATCAACAAGACGATACTGCTACCTGCACAGAAACTGATCTCTCATCAGCATCAGGTTATTTCAAATATTCAATTTTTCAACATTAGTATTCAAAAATACCGTCCTCAGTTGTCATGTGCGGTTGCGTAGTATTCATGTATTTTTCCAAATTGTCGGGATTTGTTATCGTTTTTCCAGATTTCAGTTAAAAGGATTTCAGTTTCTAATTAATGGGATGAAATTTTAAGCGTATTTTTCAGAGAGCGAATTGTTAAGCTGTAGACGTCATTATCGCTCCTTACTGCAAAAAGTGAACGATGAACTGGCACGAGTATCACGTCAAAAACGCTATTCTCCCATATCAGCATCACTACCCAATCGTGAATCGGCATTTTATCTGGATCGTCTCAAAGTGATACGTTTGGCACGTGAAGAAGAGCTGAACCGTACGTTTAGTGATGCTAATGACGAAGAAATTCTCCAGAAACGGCGTAGACCATTTGTTCCAAGGGTAATTCTTTATTATATCAAAATTTTAATATTCCAAAAAAAAGTCAAAAATTCTTGATAATATAGAGCATTTTCAATGGTTCATGAACAATGGTTCATCGTTGTCATTTCAGAGAAATAATACGGTTGAAGAATGTCGTCAATTATCGCAACAAGAACTGGTTAATGAACTGAAGCAGAAAGGAACATATAATCCAGATTTGATGGCATGGGATGCATCTGGAATCATCCGTTTCTTGGATCGTTCTATTGGTGATCAGTATGAAGTAAGTATTTTGCATGCAAAATCAAGCAGAAAAGTAATGATCAAAATTTAATAAAAAAAAAATCAATTAGATAATTCCTTGAAATATTTAAATAAGAGACTATTGTTATAGAGACAGTCGAAAACTCGTCTAAGTTTCGAAGAAACAATGGAGCGTAATGTGGAGGCACTGGAACGGATATTGTCAGAATTGAATATTGAATGTGATGTACGTTCGCCTTCGGTGATTTCGCGGCTGCAAAATTTGACATCGTGAGAGTTCGCAACATATCTCACACACACACACACACACACACACACACACACACACACATATATATATATATATATATATATATATACACATACACACACATACACACATCCACTACTATCGCCATTTTTTTAGAATTTTCAACACTAACGTTTTTCTTTTTTTAAAGTTTCATGTAAATAAATATCGTATCTTCTATGCAGATAACATCTATGAGCAATGATAACACTTTTATCATATCACTAACAAACAAATCAATCACATTTATCAATATACACGTCAAGTTTAAGTTAGAATATACTATCATCAATAAAATTTAACTTGAATTTTTCTTTACCTTCGAAAAGAAAAGTTAAAATAAGTTAATAGTTTACAAATTATATTGAACTTCAAAATGTTGGTGTTGAAAATTATATCATATAATTTGGCTATGTGCCTATAAGAATCCAAATTTTTCTGGTTTAGCAATTGGTGAGATTGTGGAATATTTTTGGGAAGGATTGCTGTTTCTTTTCTACTCTTTCATGTGATAAATTTCGTTTTGAAAAATAAATGTATATAGGATAGAAAGTCGACGAACGGTTATTTCACCATCCATACGTATGATGGATTCGGAAGTAGAACGAAACAAACGTGGAACTGCTGAGAGTGTCATTGATTCTTTGATAGCATCTGGAGCTGTTGATGCTCATACCAGAGGAAATATAATAATGCGTAAACGCCAAAAACTTATTGGTTATTTTTCGGTTTGCTTTTTCTAAACAAAAAATTTTTGAAACTTATTACTCGATTTTCTCAAAATTTTTAAAAGTTTTTTTTTCCTATAAGTTTTCTTTTTATTAAACTTAAGAAATCTCATCAGATTAACTTTGCTAAAATTTGGGTGTATTATTTCAAAAACTTAAATTCGTTACTTGATTACTTGTCTTCAAGTTCTATTTTCTTAAAAGTTTTAGGTGATGTTCATGTAATACCGTTTGGATGTGATAAGCGAGGTGGTGAGGAAGATGGTTATCTAAGGTTATGTGGTGCTTGTCAGGCGATACGTCGATTACCAGATACATTTTTTCCACCATTTATCAACGAAGTGATGTGTGATGATGACAAAGCTTGTCTTTATTTCTATGATTTTCGTGCGTTTGCATTTCTTCTCAATTTATATAGATAACTGCATACACTACATCAATGTATTTATTTTTGCTCAGCTACAACACATACCTTCATATCATTCGTTAACGATTTTTCTGACAATCAGATCTCTTCTTTCATATAATTCCAAATGATAATTCTAGTTGTTGTAAAATTGATTTTGCTGTAGAAATTTTAAAAAAAGAAAAAATCACTATTTCAGCTCATGGAAAATGCACACAGAAACATATGAATTTCGTTGTGTTGAAGAATGTTGGAACAGACGACTGTCAAATATGGCAAAAATTCAATCTTAATGTACGAGTTTCCTGCGAATGTTTTGTTGGTTTGTTGTTTTGTGATATATTTGTATAATTGTTGTAAATTTAATCACTTTAACCATGTAAATTGAAGTAACTACGATTTTTTGAATAACTCTAATTCAAAAAGCTATAAAATGAAATAGGAGGACTCGGAAGCGGAACTAATGTTAACTTATTAACGTATATTAAGAGATGAATTACTTGATATCGTTATCAAGAGCATATTATTTAAAGAATTATTATGAAAATTATTGAATCGATTATTACCATTTAAAGGAATTATAGTTAAGTTTAACGCTTTTGGCAAGGTTTTTACTGTTGTTGTATAACATTGGTGAACCGAAGTACTCTTTTCTGGCTTGTTTAGTAATCCCCGCAAAATATAATTATTATGGCATGGAACTCATTGTAAAACTAAATATTTACAGATGAAATGTCATTCTTTGCAAAATATGTTTGAATTAATGGCGACAATACGAAGGCATTAATTTGAAGTGGATGTGAAGCGGTTATTAAAGACCAACTTGAAATTTCCAATCAGTCTTATTGGCCATTGAAGCATAAATGCACTAACCATTGTCTTTGTGCCATAATTTTGTACAGAATTTGTACATAAAGTCTAGATTTTGCTTTCTTTTTCCTTTTTTCTACCGAACTTATCTGATTCTGTGAAGATTGAATGATACATTGAAGTAATAATAACTATGGTATCTCGAAATTTTTTCCGCCATCTGATTAACTTAGTATTCAGTTAATATGTTAGTATTCATTGGAATTGTAAAGTAAGTCATTTTACTGAATTGTAAAAATTATGGACGTTTTATATATCATACATAACAAGAGTTCCAAATTTTATAAGTTCAATGCCGGTTGATAGAAAAATTTCAGTTCCGGTTGATAGAAATGTTCTCATCATCTTTTTTGTTTTCTTTTTTGTCATAATTTTCAGCCTTATCGATTTTCGTATTACCAATCACGAGTGAGTTGAAAATTTTAAAATTAAGCAATTGTAGCAAATCCAATAGTTGAAGTATAATTACAGAAGCAGGAAATGCTAAATTGTTGTAAAATTGATTATCAAGTACTGTTTCTAAGGAGTTCCTTTTCAACTTCTTGAGAAATTCTTACAAATTCACTCCGGAATTCAGGATAAAAGAGACCCAGGTACTAATACCGGTAGAAATTCTTATGATTTGTTTATCATTTCTTTAAAGAATTACCTAATTTTGTCATAAAAATTGTTTCCTCTCATACAGTTCTCTGAAATGTCTTTCCACAATGATTTAAATTTTTCTCTTTTTTTTAAAGTTCAATTTGATTTTGTAGAATGAAGATGTAATGCCATTCATTTGAATGTTTCCATTTTGAACAAAGAAAATTTTTTGTTGTTTTTGATTAGATCAACTGGATGTTTTAGTGCTTTGTAGTTATTACGTGTAGTTCAGGTATCTTATCATTTGTTGCCTATTATTACTGTTAAGTTTTGAGAAGAGCATTGGACTCAATCGTTGTTGATGTTCAGTCTACTTGACAGTTGATGGTGTAAGATCAGTTAATATATGATTTTTTAAATGATTTTTTTTAGGAAAAGTTGAGTTAAATAAGTTTAAAACGCTTCGTTCACGTCCTGCGTGATTTCATGGAAACCACATTTAAAATTCAAGTATGTTAGAAATAACTGTGGAAAACTGAGGTTAGCTTGAATCCCTCATGAGTCAATTAACCAACAAATAATACATATCCTGTGATAAGTGGAATTACACAAGATGACTTCAATTGTGATGTAACAGAATTTGACAGGCGGGAATGTCCAACTGTAATGATTAGGAGCTACGCGTTTTAACTCGAATCCAAATTTGGACAAATTGGCGCTCGTCGCTGATAATCAAAGTCAGATTGGTAGTTGATAGAATTACTATCAATCAGCTTGTTTTTAAGTTTTGAACGTTCCAACTGACATTCAATAACGTCTTTATTCTTTGAAAGTCTATCTCGATTATTCTTTTGCTTTTACGAGCGAGAGTGTAACGTTTTTCCATCGTGACATATTCGAATGGAAAAATCATAAAGTAATACAATTGAATTAGGTTGTCAACATTTCCGATGAGATATCTACTTGACAAACAGTATGCACATTTTGAACGTATAATAGCATAAAAGCTCCTTTCTTGACTATTCATAATTAAAAAATATATGAAAAACATGTCCGGCTGAAGTTTAAATTATTCATTCAAAGTTAAAATGCATATTAGACATACTGACTAAATGGAGATTTTTTTCTTTTTAAGTATATATTCTTTCCTTTTATGCTACCTCTTAATACATTACTTTATTTCACTTCGAACACTTACTTTTATCATTCCGTATCATTGCCTTTTTTTTCATTAGATTTTAAACACTTCATTTCCCTTACTGCGACAATGTTGTATTCTTCTTGATCATAACAATGTTTTCAAATTTTCAACAATTCGAATTTTTCAATAATTCTGAAAATTTACAGAACTGATACCGAAATTTTTTTCACATAGCTTTCCATTTATCTTCACATTAAAAGCATTATGAAATGTTTGATCGTTTTTTTTCTTAACATTCTTATATGGCCAAAGATTTGAAAAAACTTTCTCATTTATTCCAAATTATTTGTCGGTTATACATTCATTATTATTTACATTCAAAACAATAAATTTGTCAAATATGCTTCTTCATTTTTGGATTTTGGGACGAAATATTGCTGCAGAAATTTTGTCTTGCCCTGAAAACGTAGTTTCTCGGTTTGTTAGGTTTGGAGTGCTTTGGGAATAAAATGTTGACTTGATGCGCTTAAATGAAAATTAAAACTTTTTAAATTCTAATATTTACAGATATACAATAATTGCTTGCAAATAAAATTAAATGAAAAAGTCTAGTAAACAATTGAATCATAAAATGTTAGGATTTTCTTTTTAAACAGGAAAAAGACTAACTTGAAATTTATTGAAAAATAATACATACGAAAGTGAAGTGCTGATAACATTGAAGTCTCGGCAAGTCTTATGAATGACTCTCAAATCTTTCAACTTTTTGAGTCGGCAAACTTTCAGAACATTGTCATCTCTCCATTGAAGGAAAAAATAATTAATGAGAAAAGATAATTGATAATTTTGACATATTTTTCATCTATTGTTGCATGCCTTTCAGGCATTGAACAATTTGATTTCCCAAGCTTTTTTGCTTTATCTATTCTGTAGTAAAGTAGTTTTTCGAAAAGAAAGGAAATAATAATTTGTTTTATTCACTCACCTATGCTTGCTATTCTTATCGATAAATTCAATTGCAAATAACCTGGCAACTAAAAAAAATATTAATTGTTTCCCCTATCAGTAAGATTGATCATGAATCATCTAGCTAATCAAAAAGAAAAACCAACGGAATACTTAGGCTAGCTTAATCATAAATCACTTAGCTGAAACAATGTTCATTTTTGCAAACATAAATAGAATCTTTTTTTTTTTTAACGAAGATCAATAAAATACGAGAAAATAAATAACAATAAAGTTACAATGGGTGAAAAAAACACCAAATAACAAAATTTTATTTCCTCACTCATTTTGAAAACAAGCCTATGACAAGTCTTAAAACAAACCATTTCAAAAACAAGCTTATTACTTGATTGCTGATCCATCTTTCATCCAATATTTCGGGAAGTTAACTTTCCAAATTTAACAAAGGAATTAAATTATCCACAACGAGCTTAGCTTCATCATCTTCCTTTTCGCAAATTTTGCTTTCTAATGTAAACAGATTTAAAAATAACAAACAATTTCCAATCAACTCAATAATCTCTTAGCACAGTTTTTTTTTTTCAATAATTTGATTCCTATCTCAAAAAAGGCTCATTGTTAACGTATCAATATTTTCCTGTCTCCTCTACATTGATATTTTGACATCTGAAAAACGATTAGAATTCATCATCACACATTCAATCTAATGTGCTCTCTTATCAGCGCATCATCGTAATAAGCAAGTTTTTGAAACAAGAATTATTCCACATATGCTGATAACATGAATATGGCGACATGTAATTTCATGATGCTTATTTGTGGAGGTAATAACCGATTGGGTGAAAAGAGAACTGTTAACGAAGAAATGAGAAATAAAGAAAGAGGAGGGGAAGATGTAAAAACCTGAAACAATTTTTAAAAAATATGTTTTTCCATCTCTCAGACTTATAAAATATATCAATGGAAGAATGTAGAATTATTTTTTTGAAATAAATTCTCCTAAATGATACTTTTTGGATTCCATATTTTAGTGTTGTCGAAAAATAAGTGACAAATAAGGGGAAATTTCATTATTAAAACAGATGTGAAGAAGATAGGAAAAGAACTAAAAGTACTATCAACTGAAAACGATTGTTGTCACAAACATTCTTTATGCGCATTCAAAACAATACATGGAATCACTATCATTGTTGATATCTTAATTAGTTCGGATGCTTTTGTCCTTGCTCTTCTTAACTTAATCTTTTGCACTATTCAGAATTAGTTTATTAAAAAAAATGATCCGAAAACTCACATTATCTCAATCACGGAAGTAATGTACAACTTTCGCATAAGGCAATTTTGATCATTATTTTAATGGTAGTTTTATTTTATGACAAATGTTTTCAAAGGTATAAGTCTAAACTTTCTTTATTATATCGTAGTATTTTTTGCTATTAGCAACGCTTGTAATTGCAGTTAAAAATTTCGTAGAACGTAATTTTCCACTGTTTTTGATTTTTTCATACTTTTGAGAAATTGGAAAAAATCTTCTAGCCATACCGTATTCGGCAATCTTTTGCTGACTGATTTCTTGTGCCCAAAATAATTATAGACTTACCTATATTCCTTGGCTAAACTAAACCAAACCAATTGTTTTAAGTTATCTTTATTTTCATTATTCATCTTGAACTCGATCTTGTTCCTCCTAGTATTCTCCTTCAATTTTCCATCAATTGTGCTGCCATTTATAGCATGAAATGATTGAGGCATTCTCTGTTGACATTTATTACACCATGCGAAAGTTCATAAATAATTTTGCTAAATCGTTGACAAAAAAAAAAAAAAAAAAAAGTTAATCTGATTTTATCGCCGAAATCAATCATAAGAAAGAAAAAAAAAGTACATTTTCTCGTAAATCTTTGATTGCTTTGTGAAATTTAAATGGAAAATCATAAAACTACCATAAAAGTATAAGTTATGATTCTCGAGGGAGTCTACTCGGTAACTTCAATTATAAGAGACACTAAATCCAAATAGTTATGTACTGATATTTAATAAGTAAGTGAACAGCAAATATATGACATCGTCCTTCTTTTTCTTCTTAGATAATAGGTTAGTCGGTAAGATTATTATTTTCCTAGAAAAGATTAAAGAACTATGGTGGATTTAGTTTGTTGCAACGCAATTTAGAATAAATCTTATCAAGCTGCTACCACCATGCTTATCAATATTCGCCATTTCCTCAATTATACACTATTTAGGAAAATTGTTACATATCAGATGAGATAAGTAGATGAATCCCAACACTTGTTCGTTTTAATTTATCATCAACTCTATGGTGTT